TCACTGGAGGATTCTAGGCAGGGGCTCTACCACTGAGCCACCCCCCCAGCCCCTCACTGGGGGATTCTAGGCAGGGGCTCTACCACTGAGCCACGCCCCCAGCCCCTCACTGGAGGATTCTAGGCGGGGGCTCTACCACTGAGCCACGCCCCCAGCCCCTCACTGGAGGATTCTAGGCAGGGGCTCTACCACTGAGCCACGCCCCCAGCCCCTCACTGGGGGATTCTAGGCGGGGCTCTACCACTGAGCCACGCCCCCAGCCCCTCACTGCAGGATTCGAGACTAGTGTTTGGTTGCTGAGCCGTACTCCCAGTCCCTTACTGGTACATTGTAGGATGGTATTCTGTCATGGAGCTACATCTCTGGTCCTCCTTCTACTTTTGAGCCAGTCTTCCTAAGTTGCCTAGGCTGACCTCTAACTTACTCTGCAGCCCAGGCAGGCCTCATATTTGTCATCCTTCAGTCTCAGCTTCCCCAGTAGCTGGGATGACGGATCTGGGCCACCAGGCTGGTAAAATTCATTCATTCAACAAACATCTACTAAGTGACTGACATAAGCTGAGGCTCTTGGTCGTTGTCTAGAAAGCAGCTGTGAAGCTCCAGGTGCCTGGTGGCTTGTCTTTCCAATACCCTCACATCTCCACACCTAATACCCCTACACCCCTCATCCCCCCACACAAAAACCCCTATACCTCCTCACCTCCATACCCAATATATCCTACACCCCCACACTCCCACACCCCCTCACTCCCACACCCCCTCACCTCCACACCCAACACCCACTACACCCCCTCACTCCCACAACCCGTCACTCCTACGCCTTATTTGCCTTCCTTCTCTATTTCCCTCTTTCCTCCAAAACCCAGAAGTCAGTTGGCCGCTCACAATGGACATCCAGCTCCACTTCCTGCTGTATTTTTCCACGACCCAGCCGGTTCTCTGCCAAGCAAGAGTAATTCCCAGCATGCCACAGGGAGACACTAGCGATCTGGAGCTTCTTTTGGGTGTCTCCGGGTATTTCTTTCCTGTTGTGATACCAGGTGTAGTTTGTTGCCTCCGGACTGGCCACTGACTCACAGATCAGCTCGACTGACTGCCCCTCTTCAGCGGGTGAGGGAGAGATGTCAACCCTGGACGGTTCTGGAGCATCTGAAAGAATGTATGGCAGCCACGGGACAGGTGAGCGGAGCCTGCAAACGTGGTCACCCAGCACCCGAACCCCTATTATCATCTCTTAAGGATCCTGCTAACTCCGCACCTCCCTCACCAGCTTCAAGGAAACTCACAGAGGACCATGAGTACCACTTCTTCCGACTTTCCTTCACCTATGTCGTTGGAAGCCTGGCACTGGTATTTCCCTCTCATGTCCTTGGTCACTGAACGCAGAGTTAGCTTGGACATCTGTTTCTGTTCCTGTTCGTGTTCCTGTTCATGTTCCTGTTCATGTTCCTGTTCATGTTCCTGTTCGTGTTCCTGTTCGTGTTCCTGTTCCTGCAGGGGGCGCCCATCCTTGAACCAGGATACCGCCGCCCCCGCAGTTGTCCTGAGTTCCGGGTTGCTGCTGATAACCTGGCATGTCATGGTCACAGAGTTGCCCACCTCGACCTCTGTGGGATTGACCTGGATCTTCAGTTTCGGGGTGTCTGCAGGAACAGAGAAGCAGTTGCGGAAAGGACAAAAGAATGCTCGGTGGCTGCAGTTTTATTCTGACAGCGGCAGTGCGCACAGCTGTGGTTCCTATGTCCACCCAGGTGACTGTCCCAGCTCCCCACTTGTCTGCCTGCTCTCATTTCTCCCGTCCCCTCCCACGTTGTCTCTGCTGGTATCCCCGGCATCGTTAGAGATTGGCACTGAAGCTATCCACTGGGCTTGTTCAGCCCAGGAGACCAGTGCCCTCCCCTCTCCACTTCCTTCCGCTCTTAGCTCAGAAGGCTCAGGCTTAACCCACACTCCTCTCCGGTCCTCAGCCACTGCCGTGGGTACGCCATGCCCCACCTCAGGACCTCAGGACCTTTGCACGTGTCCCTTCCTCTCCCCAGGATCTTCTTTGCCTGTTCTAGTCTCTCCCTCTATCTTGTCAGCTGAGATCTGCACCTTCTCCTCAGGAGTCTCTATCCATCACCCATCTCCTAGCACCCCCCCCTTTCTTTCAGTATTTGTGTGTGCTCGCACATGCGCAGGCCAGTATGATCAGAAGACAGCCATGGGTGTTGTGTTTCAGAAACCATCCTGTGTTTACATTTTTTGAGACCGGGTCTCTCACTGACCTGGAGCTCACTTAGACCGGACTCACTTAGACTCGAGGAGCCATCGGATCTGCCTCCTCACGGCTGAGACAAGCAAAGGCCACCACACTGAACTTTTTTGTTTTGTTGGCTTTTTGTTTTTCCAGACCAGGTTTCTCAGTGTAGCCCTGGCTGTCCTGGGACTTGCTCTATAGACCAGGCTGACCTGGAACTCAGCGATACACCTACCTCTGCCTCCTACATCCTGGGATTAAAGGTGTGCACCACCATATCCTGCTTACATTCAACTTTTAAAATGTGAGCTCTGGGGTTCAAACTCAAGTAGTCACTCTTTTTTTTTTTTTTTTGTAGTCACTCTTGTAACGCAAATACTATTTTTTAAAAAAAGTTTGTTTTTTTTCCCATTGTGTGTATCTGTGCCTGAGGAACTAAAGGCCTCAGATCCTGTGGAGAGAGAGCTCTTGGTGGTTGTTAGCTGCCTGGTATGTATGGGTGCTAGGATTTGAATTCAGGTCCTCTGCAAGAGTTTATAGTAAGTGCTCTAAACCATTGAAACATCTCTCCTAAGTACTTAAAAAAAAATATTATGGGACTGGAGAGATGGCTCAGCAATTAAGAGCACTGGTTGCTCTTCCAGAAGACTCAGGTTCCCAGCACCCACAGGGAGGCTCACAACTATCTTTGATTTCAGTTCTAGGGCATCCAACACCCTCTTCTGGCCTCCACAAACACCGTTCTTGTGATCAGTGCACAGACATACATTCAGGCAAAGCACTCAAACACATACAAATAAAAATTTAAAAATCTTTTTAAAATTAATAAACAGTATTTATCATGTAGTATTAAGTTTAAAAAAAATTCAAAAGGGGTTTATTAGGTTGGCTAGGCAAATTCAGAGTTATCTACTCGGCACCTCTTTTTCTCTTAATACACACAGCTCCTCCTGGCAAATCTGTTCTGTGCTTCTTGACTAATGTTTTATGTGTCTACTCCATTGCAACTGTAACACCACACAGGCAGAACCTGGCTCCCTGCTGTGTTCTCAGCCAAAGCTGGCATTCAAGACAAGACTGGCACCTAATTAATTCACAGGCTTGGGTTTTTGTTTGTTTGTTTTAAGAGGGGGGGGTCTGATTGGCCTAGAACGATGTAGACCAGGCTAGCCTCAAACTCACAGAGCTCCACCTCCTTCTGCCTCATGAGTGCTGGATTTAAAAGTATGTAGCACCATGCTAGGCCCCACAGTAAGTATTCATTCGATGAATGAATGATTGAATGAATGAATGAAGCATAAAATAATGATGTGAAAACTTACATGTATGTAGAACAATGAATCCTAAGGAGGTTATCCTCAAAGTGTGCTGTGGCTTCAGAATTGATTGATTGATTGGTTGGCTGGTCGGTGCTGGAGGTTAGCTTGGGGTCTCACAAGAGTGCTAGCTAGGCAAGCGCCATACCACTGAGCTACATCTCCAGCAGCCCTTAGTTTTTGAGACAATGTTTTACTTTGTAGCCCAAGGTTGTCTCAATCTCGAGATCCCCTGCCTTGCCCTCCTGAGTGTCCAATTCCAGGCCTGTATTACCACACTTAACTAGGTTGCCTCATTGTTCAGGTCAAGGCAGAGGCTAAAACGAATGTGTCTTGAGACACAGAACTGACCGAAGAGATGGTGTGTGAAGAGCCTGTGCCACCCCCAGAAACAGGTGACTGACAGCTGAACCTACAGCGGACACAGGCTCTTCCCACCCTTGGTACAACTCAACAGGATTTAGGGAGAAGATGACAGGTGGCATCCTTCCCACCCAGAGACTCACACTTAACATCCAGACGCACTGTGTACACAGAGAGCTGTTTGGAGGAGTGCTGGACTTCACATGTCACATTCTGTCCGTGGTGTGTCCACTTTGGTTGGAAGGTGAGCTTGCTCTCTGTATAGACATTGTTAACGGAGGAGGTGACAGAAGAGGTGATGGAGGTAGTCTCGGTCTCATTCAGGGACCATTGCAAGTGGATGTCATATCCAAAGCAGGTGAAATTCAGTCTACAGGTCAGAGTGACGCTTTGGAATTCCCGGATTTCTGATGGCAGCAGGATATCAGGTTGGAAGGGTTTCTCTGGGGGGGGGGGGGGAAAGAGAGATGCCTGCTTGCTAGGGATGAGACACAAACTGGCTTTCCACCCCTGACTTCAGGTATCCTGTCCTGTGTGACCCTAGAAGAAGCCCTTGCAAGGCTGGCCTATTTCTTTGTTCGGTTCAACTACTCTGGAAGGCCTTGGGGACACAAAGCCTGCTGGGAAATTGTGTCTAACGCGGAGTTCCTTTCTCCCTCCCTCCCTCCCTCCATTGTGCTTCTAAATAGCTTCGTGGTCACCCAGAGTGATTTGATTTGATTGATTAGTTGGTTTATTTCTCCGTGTATTGCTAATCATTGGTGACATGTGTTTGTTTGACAGCCTCAGACTTAGAGTCAGGCAAGCACAACATTCCTTTAGTGGGGTGATCCTGAGGCCTGGGGCTCACATCTCTGCCACGCTAGACCAGCCGACAGATGTGATGTGAAGAGGCACAGCAGGGACAGCTCTACTGCGGGCTGATGATACTGTCTAGCACAGAGGCCCCTGGCTGCTCTTACGGGTCATTTCTGAACCCAGTGCTCGCCTTGTCGGTCCTAATAGGATTCCTTTAATTTTGTCACAAGACACTGAGAAATTTGAAAATCCAGCCCTCTCTCTGCTTTGGAAAGCTTCAGAAAACCTGAGAGCCCAGACAACGGATTCCACAACAGACACAAACTGAGGAGAGGAAGCCTGAGGCAGGACAGTTGCTCATGCTGCAGTTGGCTCTGTGTGTGTGTGTGCATGTGCGTGTGCGTGTGCATGCACGCACACGCGCACACACACACACACACACACACACTTGTCAATGTCTCCTATTTGGTGAGCAAATGAGAAGAAGAAGAAATAAAAAGGAAACTGCATGACTGTTCCTAGGTGTGGTGGAGGAGAAAGTTTACTGTAGATAAAAGGGAGAGCATAGCCAGAGGCAGGGACATCTGGGAGAGTCCGGAGTGCATATGACCTTGAGTCAGTCAGGTGAGGAGGGGCAGGGAGAAAGGGGAGAGAAGGGAACCAGGTGCAGCAGCCAAGAAAGAGGTTAAAAGAAAAAAAAATTAGCTGGATTATATAGAGAAGAGGCTGGGGGAGGGGCAGCCCAGCTCTTGGGATAGAGAGTTGGGGAGCGAATGCCAGCCATTCTCTGTAAAAGGTAGAGACTGAGGGATGCTGGGAGAACCTGGCAGCCTGCCCACTTTAATATGTTAAACAGACTTCTGGGCTGTATACTCCAGGGTTTGAAACCTAACCATGAGCAGGTAATACCTCTCTTCCCCCGTCCCTCTTTGCCGCTGCTAGAACCGGCTGCCTCCCCGTGCTTACCGGAGACTTTGAGGGGAATGTGTTCCATCCATTTGTCAGTCCCTGAGGTCATCCTCAACCCCAGCATCCCACTGTCACTGGCATATATCGGGTGGATTTTCAGGGTACAGTTATCTCTTCTGTTTCCTAGAAATGTCACTCTCCCTTGCCGAGAAAGGAAGAGCACAGACTCTGTGTTCGTCCCAGTCTTTGTCTTGTTGTACAGAATAGTTCCTTTGAAATCCCTGGTGCCATTGTCAAAGTCATATTTCTGAAAAAGGAGGATGTTGTCCAAACCTTTACTGGATTCTGGCATTCTGTACTTGCAAGGAATCCAGATGCAGGCGCCCTCCCAGGCGAAGAGGGTTTGGGGACGGTCAACAGTCCATTGAGTTGGTGAGTTGAACGAAGCCACGTGTCCTAAAGGGCACAACTCTGGTCAGAAGGTGTTATTGAGGGGTGAGAACTTCCACTGGAAGTAGGAGAGCGAGACACTGGGGAGACACACGGTGGAACAGGAACACAGAATATCTATCTCTGTGCACACTACCTCCCCGAGGTCCCCTCCAGTACCCAGGCCCATCTCCTCTCTGTGTTACCCACTGATATCTCCAAACCCAGCTACCAGCCTGGGCCTCACCACTTACCTAGAATCAGGAGGAGCCAGGGGCAGTGGACACGCATGATGTCACGTCTGGGTGGGCCCTGGGGAAAGAAGAGTTAGTCTGTAAACTGGATGTGTTGGTGCGTGACTGTAATCCCAGCATTCGGGAAGTTGAGGCAGGAGGATTGCTACGAGTCTGAGGCCAGTGTGGGCTACATTCTGAGAACCTGTCTCAACAACAGCAGCAGCAACAACAAAAGGAATTTGCCTTTGAGCCATCTTGTTGCCCTCTGAACTCTGGCCCCTTTTTCCTGATTGGGGGGGGGGTGTACAGGTGCCTGGTTATGTGATGGAGAGTGGGTTCCGGGTGCTTACAGAGTCTTTTCTGTGTATACTGTACTTCTTTAAGCAGACTGTCCTTTCCTCTCGTCTACCTCTCTTTTCCATACATTTATTGTAATTTTTATTTTATACGATTGGCATGTGTGTGTGTGTGTGTGTGTGTGTGCCCGAAATATAAGGCATTTGCAAGCTACAGTGCACATGTGGACACCAGAGGACAACTTTGTGGAGAACTTTGTGGAGTTGGTGCTTTCCTTCCACCTTTAAGTGGGTCCCAGGAATACAACTCATACGACCAGGCTTACACAGCAAGCGCGTTGACCCCTGAGCCACCGTGATGGCTTTTATAACTCTTAAAACTCTGTTCTCTCACTGGGCAGTGGTGGCACATGCCTTTAATCCCAGCACTTGGGAGGCAGAGGCAGGCGGATTTCTGAGTTCGAGGCCAGCCTGGTCTACAGAGTGAGTTCCAGGACAGCCAGAGCTACACAGAGAAACCCTGTCTCGAACCCCCCCCCCCAAAAAAAAAGAAAAGTAAAAAGAAAAAAAGACTAGGGTGGCGGTGGGGAAAAGCACATTAAAACAAACCTGAGCCAGGCCTAGTGATCCAGGCCTGGAATTCCAGGTGCTCCAGGCTGATACAAAACAACTGCAAACCCAAGATCAGCTTGGCTACAAAGCAAGTTCAAGACCGGTCTTCTAGTAGACTTAACAAGAAACTTGTCTCAAACAAAAATAAAAAGAGGGCTGGGGTGTATCTCTGTGATAAAGGAATCACTTAGTGAGGAACTAGAGGTGGGCTTCAGCACTAGAGCCCCTGCCTAGAATCCCCCAGTAAGGGGCTGGGGGGGTGGCTCAGTGGTAGAGCCCCGCCTAGAATCCCCCAGTGAGGGGCTG